TATGACTTTATGCGTGAGAACCCATGCCAAAGCTTCCGGTACATATGTTGGAGTTGCCATCCTGATGTAGCCTCGCGTAGTCCTCTGAAAACTAAAGATGGCGCAAAAGTAGCAGGGAAAAATGTGAAATGTTCGACCCCCACCAATTCGGAAAATAGTACAAACGCACATAAACCGGGGATACCAAAATCCCCACCGGTTAAACCTGTCACTCCTGACATAACCGCTCCAGGAACAGAGGCTGGAGCACGACGGGTTTCCGTCGTTGGTAAAGGACCCCTATCGTCTGCCAGTAATACTGGCCATAGCACTGAGACATGCAAAAATACCCAGTCGCACCAGACGAAACAAAACGGTCTTAAAGGGGATCACAAATGTGCGAGGACCAGCCTAAGCCCACGGTTAGTAGATCAAATTGTGTAATCCTCTTTAACGTACCAGACTGTAGCAGTAGTCTGCTGAAGGATAGGGCCCTATTTGATCAGGAACAGTGGTCCGTCTTGTGTAGCACACTAGGTTTGGACATCCAACCAGTAAATCTGTGCAGATTGTATAGGGGCACTGCTGCACCTCAAGGCAAACCGTCCCCACTGAGGGTAAAATTGGGCTCTACCGATGATGTTGAAAAAGTGTTACTGGCTTCTCAAGTTCTTTCTAAAGGGAGGGCCTATAACATATGTGTGAAGCCAGACAGGCCATGGAAGGAAAGACAAATGGCAAGGGAGTCACCAGAGCTTATTCCTTCTGCCTCCATGGTTGTTCATGGCATTCCTGAACTGGTAACTGGGAACGCCTGCGAAAAGCATTGTCATGGTGTACAACAATGGAGATGGTTGGCATCCCAGATGGCCCTGAGGAGTTTAGAGGCTGTCTCTATTTATAGACTGCCTCGACCCACTCATCTTATGTCAATTAACTCGCCACGTCTGTTAGCTGTCAAGTTCAGCTCGCAAGACCAGTTGAATACCGCTCTCCAAAGATGGTACGAGACCAAGGACAAGGTCAGCAAACACATTCGCTGCTGCGAGAGCCGGCCTCGCACGCAAAGGAGAGAACAAAGCGTAGTTAAAAAAATCCTCAACCCCTAGTCACACTACAGCGGTGCAGCACGGACGATGATAGCCAGTGTCATCCGAGTGCTACAACTGAACTAGAAGAAAAAACGCCAACAGGCTGGTTCCTGGGGAATCGGCCAACTAGTTCGTAGGATAACTCCTCAATCGATAGTCAGTATCAAGTCAACTACTCCCCAATACGGGGAAGTGGTGAGACTGACTACCAGTTGCCTGTACAGTAATGTGAGAGGGCTAAGAGGCAAAATAGCTGAACTTAGACACCTACAATCACAACTGAACTCCAAAATCATGATACTGGCGGAAACCTGGCTAACTCCTACGGTGGCAGACAGCGAAGTCAGTATAAACGATATGGTCCTAGTCAGGCGAGATAGGGACCTGAAAGAAGGAGGTGGAGTCGCCATATACGTCGACAAACAGCTCAGATGTGTTCACGCGATGGACCCTCCCCTCACAGAGCTCCCTGACTCCATATGGTGCCACTTCACCGTTGGGTACTGCAAATATCTAGTGGGCAGCATTTATCGATCACCTTCATGTGGAGCAGACCCCAACCAGGTACTGCTAAATACAATGTCAGCAACTCAAGACATGGGTTATGATCAAATTGTCATAGCTGGTGACTTCAATGCCCCATCTCTTAACTTGATGTCGGGAAAAGCCTATGATAGATTTGATCGAAATCTGCTGCATACCATCAGGAAGGCTGGATTCACTGAAAATGTCAAGATGGATACTAGATGGGGCCCTGATGGGAAGTCTTCTAGACTGGATTACGTGCTCACTAGTGACCAGCTAGTAATTGAAAACGTTCAGATCACGACTCCCATAGGTAGTAGTGACCACGCGGTCATAGTATTCGACATAGTCCTCCGCGAGCGCTTACAGTGGGACGACACACAGCCCTATCTGTGTTATAACAAAGCCAACTACACCAAAATGCGAAGACTTCTGTCTGAAGCAAATTGGCCTAAAAAATGGACAGAGCTAACAGTAGAAGAACACTGGAGAGTGGTAAAGGAGATCATTCACCAGGCGGTCTCAGACACTGTTCCTTTAGTCACACCAAAAGCTAGGAAGCAACGTTCATGGCTAACAAGGGGGACACGACGCCTTCTGCAGGCAAAACGAAAAGCCTGATTTGCGTGGCGACGATCGAAGAGTCAACCCGAACATGAAGTGTACCTTGAACTCAGGAATCGATGTAACATACGAGTCCGGAGCGATAGAAGGACATTTCAGGGAGACCTCGCCAATAAGCTTCTCATGAACCCCAAAAGCCTATACAGCTTTATGGCCGAAAGAAAACCGACCAACCAGGGAGCATGCAATCTGATGGGTTCTGATGGGAAATCTCTTACTAGTCTTGAAATGGAAGAGACATTCAGCCTAGCCTTTCAAAGGCAACTAAACAGTAACGAGGATATTATCCCCACAGAACATCAAGATTACATCGCAAAACCAACGCGCGAAAACCTCCTGGGTACATTTTAAATTACCTCGGCTATGGTACTTGCAAAATTGGGAAAGTTGGCTTCGGGAAAGTCTTCAGGTTGTGATGACATCAGACCATCTGTCCTGAAGCAGTGTTCAGAAAGTCTCTGTCAACCCCTAAGTGATCTGTTCCAACACTCCCTTGATGTAGGGAAACTTCCATGTGAATGGAAACGAGCAATCCTATCCCCTATCTTCAAGGGTGGTAACCAGCAGAATGCGACCAGTTACAGACCAGTTGCTCTACTTCCAGTGATATCGAAAATATTGGAAAGTCTCATTGATGACCACATGAGAAAATACTTCGATGGGACCAACCTTCCCCACGAAGCACAGCATGGTTTCAGGAGGGGAAGATCCTGCGTGACGAATCTTCTACTAGCTTGGAACGATTGGACACTATCCTGGGACGAAAAGGTACCAGCAAACGTGATCTTCTGCACCAAAGTCAACCGCATCCGATCATCCTGGCACACCTCGGCATCAGGGGTTCCTCAGGGTTCTATCCTAGGGCCGTTGATGTTTCTGATTTTTATCAACGACCTCTCCTCCCAACTGAACTGCTCTGCGCTTCTTTACGCCAACGACGTAAAGATTTGGAGAGCAATAAACTCATCGGAAGACTCAGATGGATTGCAGGCTGACCTGCAAACTCTGGGAGACCGGGCTTAGGCTAACGGAATGTCCTTCAACCTAAAGAAGTGCAAAGTAGTGCAACTTCATTCCGGCAGGTCACAGAGTGTAAATTACACCCTTGGTGGCCAGAACTTGAGTTGTGTTCCATCAGAGAGAGACCTAGGTCTTATTCTAACAGAAAAGCTAGACACCAGTGGAAATTACGCGAGGGACGTCGCCAAAGCCCACGCAACTTTACACTTTATGCATAGGCAGCTGGGAGCTCTCACTCCCGAACTGTTCATAAGGTTATATAAGACATATGTGAGACCACACCTTGAGGTGCATAATATCATTGCACCTCCGCTACTCAAAAGGGATGCTAACATTCTAGATAATTTCACCTCTCTTTCCTCCGAATGTGAAATGCTAAAAGTTTCCATTGTGTTTGATTATTATTGTTCGGAATAGTGGTTAGTATTGCATATTTATATATGTATATATTTTTAGTGTATGCGTATATTGATCGATTGATTTTTGTTTAAACTGAACTCTGTGCAAGTATGTTAAAATTGTTGTTGTAGATATATTTAATAATGTCTTTGCCATGTAAGCAGCTGACGAGTAGGCAACGAAATAAAAGATGGTACCATTTTATTCTGCTAAAACTGTAGTTCTTGCATTGTTCAAATTCTAGAAAGTGTCCAGAGACGAGCGACAAAATGGGTGATCGGCCTCCACAACAAATCATACGTGGAACGACTAAATATATTAGGTCTTTTCACACCGTAGTGCGTCGGTGGCATAGTGGTTAGGACGCTCGCCGACCATGCATATGGTCCGGGGTTCGACCCCCGGCCGGCGCACTCCTTTACCTCGCTAAACCCGAAATAAAGCCGGTAAAGAGGAAAGGTTGGGCATGAGGCTAGCAACTCCATCCTGTAAAAATAAACACTGCTACAGAAACTTCAAGCCTCCAGCTTCAAGCACTATGTTCCACTGGGAACGTGAAGGAAAAAAATTACACCGTAGGCACAGAGGAGACCACATCACCGTCTACCAGATCTTAAATGACCAGGCCCACCCAAATAAAAGCATCCTGCCATTAAGTGATTATAGGCTTCCATGAGGTAACCCGCTAAGGATAGTACACCAGAGACCAAAGACTCGAGTGCGGTCACATTTCTTTTCGCTTCGTGTTTGCCGTCTCTCGAACGCTTCACTGGGGGCCGTGACTACAGCGCCTTCTGTGGAGATTTTTAAGCGGAAGCTAGACAATCATGCAGAAATGCAAGGTTTGTGTCTCAATGGCTTATCCTCATAAAACTTGAAACCACACTGTCAATGGATAAGCGTACAACCTGAATCCCCACTACCTATTCTGCCTTCTCTCACTCTATCTTTTCCTTAGGTCACCTTTATTATTCCACTTATCTCAACCCATATTATCTACACTACAACCTATTATTATTATTACTGTTCTGCTTTTATGACTACACCGAATGACCAACGGGAGTTAGGTCAAACTCCATTCACAGCAGCAATACAGTCCTAACATACTGCATACCACAAACCACATCTTGACCAATCCCCGCACCACTCCTCTTGGAGTCTTCCAGAGCTAAAGCAGACGAGTGGCGGGACTTACTACGCAGAAGCTCACCGAAGATCTGGAACCTCTACCTCACAATCAAGAAGTGAGCTCAAAGAAATCACTGGTTTATACTAGCTCGTAATCAGGATATTGGATATTGGACTTGAGTTGTTATGACAACAGAGTTTTAACCTTGATGCAATACACATTTTCGTTACATAATGAAGATTGATGTTAAAAGACGGGTGGGTCATCTGCATGAAATCTTAATAATATTCATGTAGCCTTCAAAGAAAGGCCATGGAAAAATTCAGCTGGATGGGGAGGAAGGAGAATACGGTTTGCGCGAAGAACTTGATGAATACGGTATGCGTGCTGTATTGAAGCCAGAAGATCAACTGCAGTTGACAGAACAGGTTTTAGAATTTTAAATAATATTCTTTAGGAACTCAAAGAAGAGATAACACGAGTACTTACTGCTACTAATCCTCATGCTCCCCAAAACATTGTTCGGTTTAATTTTAAGGTGAATATTTCCTATTAACACGCTATATTGTATCAGGAGGGCCAGTACAAACAAATTCCCCAAGTGCATCAGATGGCCGTTCATTTTTGGCACGAGGGTTATATGCTACCTAAGGACTCAGATGAAGCTAGAAGACAAATGGCTAGGGATGGAGCCTTGCAAGTCGAAGGTAAGCACATTGACTTGACTTCATCACACAGCCAGAAACCTTGTTAGAAGAAGACAGTAAGGAGGTAATTTAGATATACTTATTTCTTTCACAGTCTATTGTATAAAAAGTCTGCCATTGGAACCAGGGATAGCGATGTCCAGTCACCGCAAAAGAAACTAACTAACCAGTTCAACTTCTGTGAGCGTTCAACTCAGACGTATAACAATCCACACAGAGTATGTATTGATGTTTAGTTATCGGTCTGTAGGAAAGGGGAAATATGACGGAGCCTCCGCCTAGGGCAACATTTTCTGCTAATGTGACTCAGTGGAGTATATATGATGACTATATTGAGGATTTCGAAAAGCAGCAGGAAAAGAACAAAGATAAAAAGCCCCCAGGGGTAGGTCAAAAGCAGGAAACCAAGATGCGAAAGAAAGTTATGCATGGAGAAACACAGGTAAATGAAACACATTATCTTCAGAAAAATATCTGAATTAAATGCAAGATATCACTTTCAGGTTATTTTGTCTTATCTGTCACCTAAAAACATGGAATTTGTAGGGTTTACTGTCAAGGTATCTTTTATTACTGAGTTTGAGTTGTACGGTTTTTTCAAACTTTACGATTATTCTATGCTTATGTTAATCATCTTTGGAGTGATGCATTAAACAAATTTTAATTACGTTTCCAAACGTATATGGAGGTTACTGGTTAGCTCATGTTTTTTACTGACGTGTCGCAAACATAAGTAGGGGTCAAACGGTTGAGTTGTATGCCTTTATAACTGCTGAAGATAGTACATAAAAATGAGGCAATTTACGTTTCGCGGAACTAAATATAGATTAAAAGCAAAGGAAGTAGGAAGTGTAGCACTATGTCTTTTTGTCATCATTTAAAAGTAAGACATCACAAGTTGGAAATTTCGACTAACAGTTAATTACATCGGGACAAGTCAGCTTTTCACTGACCAGTTGTTCTTGATGACTGAAGGGAATTTCGTTACATATTTGGCAAAGTTCTTCGTTACCAAAACTTAATTATTCAAATTTTTCAGGGTTTTAAATCGATTGGATTAACCAATGATCTTCATATTCTTCTATCTAAGAATATCAGTAGAATTTTAATGGTTATCACTCTAAGGTGTGGAATATGGGAATAAAAGTCAACTGAATTTGACGGTTGTTATTTTAGTGTACTTAAAATTCTATACAGATAAATTATATGTTTATCGCTTTGTTTACTTGAAAGGCAAAGGTATATAAAATTTTGCTGAATTTTTCTGGGAAAATTTTTTTGTTTCTACTATTACTTCTGTTTCTTTTCTGTCCTTATCCTTTGATTTAAATGTGTTCTGGTTCTATAAGTACATCAATGAGGGATTGTCCACACTTAAAAAACGGAGTAAGAACATCGTACAATGTTTAAATTTGTCAAACTTATCGCCATTTTGCATGTTACCGATTAAATGTAGCTGTGTTAATACGAGTACAAAAGATTAAGTCTACTCTATATCAGATCAGTGATGCTATTTTTCGGTGAAGTAACCAAAGAACTATTCAGTGAATTGAATACCGTGTGAAAGCTTAGATTTATTACATCTTTAAAATTTGTTTTATTCTTTCGCGTTCCGAGTGGAACATGGGGCTTTAAGCCTTGAAGTTTCAGCAAACCTGGCGTTGTTTTTAACGAAGTCAGACTGCTGACCCCACGCTCAGCTTTACCTTTTTCCTTGGTTTACTTCTAGCCACGTACGTCGGTCGCGAATCAAACCCGGATAACATGCTTAACTGGTGAGAATTCTACTCCTGAACCATCGAGATACCCGAGTTTTGGCATAAATTAAGAAAAAATAATTTGTGTACAGGGGAAATAAAACAAATAAATCAGTTTCCACCTTCTGATTAGCTAGCTGACAAATAATTATTATGTTGAGCTCATTGGAAAAAATGCAATTCTAACGTAAATCAAAGTCTACAAAGTCTGTATGTCAAGCATAACGACACTGAGAAAAAAATACAACAAGGAATTATAAAAGTGACAAATATATTACTTTTAAACTTGCAGTTACCATTCATCAGACAAACCATATATGACTAAGAAGGTCAATCATGCATATCTATCATACTTAATATCTGAAGAGACATCGATTATGGGGTATTAAAGAGTATTTGATTTCTGTCTGAAATCATTTTATGCTTACTAAACGTGTTCAGCCATTTACACCAGGGTTTTAGTGTTTAAAGATTAGACTTCACTGCTCATTTCTTTCTTTCGTCTTCCTGTTGTTTTTAGGGAGATGACTTGAGTCGGTTTGCTCAACCTATTAAAATTGTTGAGCGCATGATAAATCAGAATACTCACGATGAGGTGGCCCAGGACTTTAAATACTATGAAGACCAATCTGATGAATTCAGAGATAATCAAGGCACTTTACTACCACTGTGGCTATTTTCATTTGAGAAAGCCAAAAAGCTTGCTGTAACTTCCCTATGTTGGTCGCCTCAGTACAACGACCTCTTCGCAGTTGGTTTTGGTTCATGTGAGTTGCGTGCTTTTATTATATGACAACTACAAGCGTATATTTGATCATTTTTGTGCGGAATATTATGTAGAATTCTAGTGGGTCCTTTTATATTCGTATAAACATTCTGGAGTAACTTCTGATCTTCAGGACAGTCTACTGTGTCAGGTTTTATCAAACTGTTCATAGCTTTTGAAGGTGACCTTTTCATGACGTCAGCATTGGAAGTATCTGTTGCCAATAAGTTAATCTAGTAATTCATCAGACATTTCCAGCTAGAAGAACGTCTCCAATGTATGTATGACAAGTTGTTAACTCAAGATACTAAATTTATTTCCTGCAAACTCGAATGAAACAGATGAAAATAATCCAAATTCGGAGATGCTTTGCCGCTGAACCGGTAGACGTTTTTCTTCCTGTTAGGTTCGTTGGATATTTCATACGGAGGCCTTAATACAGTTATGAGGCACTCATGAATGATGTCTCAAAAATGAAGCGGTTTAAACATCCTCAAAGCTATAGTTTCTGTTGCTTAACAATATTCGTAAGTTTCGATTCAGTGGGGTTCTATGAGCTTATAGGGTTGGCGGAATTATCTTACTCAGCCTCTAAATTATTTTCGCGTACGGAAAACAAAGCAAAAGCCAATATTTGATCGTCCAAACTAAGTGATATATTTCGGGACCAAAACAAGCCTTCAGACGATCGCTTAGCTAGCTAGTGATCGTGCACGTGACACGACGGGGTACCAAATGGCGGGGATGCTTGACCGGAAGCCTTCAGCTAAACAAGTCGACTTAAACAGTGGTGGTCAGCATCCAATGAGTGATTGATGTGGTCAATAATTTTGGGGAATTATTTACCGCTAGAAGCTGGTTCATTTAATTATGGATCTTTTATTGTCCTTCTAGACAACATTTTGGGAGGTGTATTTCGGGGAAGCTCATAGCTCTAGATTTCAGTCTCTATCCTTGCACGCATGACATTTCATGTACTGGACTGACATGTTTTGGAATAATTGGCTGTTTTCATTAATTTGTAAATTTTTGAAAACAATTTACATTAATCCTAAAGGGATATTTCTAGACTTCATGTTTTAGAAAAAATATTTACTTTTTTGAGTGTCTAACGTTTTTATTACTGAGAGCTTAATAAGTTGTAAAGTGTAAGAATGAGTTGTTGTTGCTGCTGAATGAAAGAAAATAAGTCACATGGACGCTGGACATACTTTTCTGTGTAATTGTGGTATCCCTGCTTAAAAATAGACTACGAAAGGTATGTTGCTTGAGGTAGTCTTGTAGGGGACTTTATAGCCAGCTCGGTAACAGAATAAGTGTTAGAATACAAATTCAAGTTAATGAAATGACAGCGTATTAGTATATTGTAAAGAAATACAGTAATGAGTTATATAAACTAATCGGTTACTTGATTTTGTAATTAAATCTCTCTGCTACAAATTAATAATATGACCCACAAATGTTCACTGATGGAGTCATGTCTACTGGTAGAAGCTGTGCACTGGTTGTAGAATAATCTTCGGATGAGGATGAGAGGTTCCTTCAAAAATCAAAAGCATACAACAGAGTTAGTACGGAAGCAAGCAGACAGTATAAACCGGTGAGAAGACGAAACACCGAGCACCACACTGTATTTTGACTACACTCCGAAGTTATATATATTTTACCATGGATCGTTTTAAACAAAAGTTGTGTACAATGTTTCTATTTGTAACACCCAAACAAAAACTGTATAATAGTACTGATCCAGACTCCACAGTCTCAACGACTAAATAATTTATTATTTTCACCATTAATAGTTGTTGGCATAAAAGATAAGAGCTTGTTTGTTTCTATTGTCGATAGATGATTTCCTGAAACAGTCGACCGGTTTGATTTGTTCGTATACTCTCAAAAATCCAAGTTATCCAGAATATCATTTTGAGACGGAATCGGGTGTACTTTCGTTGGATATTCATCCATCACTGCCTCATATGCTTTGTGTTGGCTTCTATGATGGAGCGGTGGGAGTGTACAGTATTATACAGCGTAAAAGTGGGCCATTATATCAAAGTACAGCAAAAACTGGTAAGCATACAGATCCTGTATGGGAAGTACGCTGGCAGCCGAATGACTTGGAAGCAAATTTAAATTTCTTTTCTATCAGTGCTGATGGTAGAGTTACATCTTGGACACTGATTAAAGTAAGTAGAAGTTACAACAATACTAAATCGGTTTATTCTATTTACTAGTTATTGCCATGTTTGTAAGTCCGGTGTTGTCGTTGCTAAATGTACATGATATTAAAAAAGGATAAGATACATAGGAATACTAGTTATTCATACCTATTTTTCACGTGTTCACCTATCCAATCAACAAACTAACCTGCCATGTTTCATGAATACAATATTCAGTGGCTGTTTTTCTGTTAGATTAATTATAAATTGATTAGTATTAATGTTTTTACTACAATTAATTTTCTTTGTTAAGGAAGGCGTAGGCAGTTTACATGAATGTCCAGTAAGTGAAACCGGTCAATTATTTCCATAGTTCTGATTGTTATTTACAAATTGTTTTGTTATTTAATAACAACTATTTTCATCATTTCTTCTGAGACATAATTTATCATATTTCCAAATATTCCCGTTTTTCTCATACTGCTTTGATTAACCTACAAAGAATGACATGGGTCAATTCGATGCAGTTATTTTAAAGATGATAGCGAATTCTGGTGACAGTACTGAACCATCTCGACTTATCACTTTGGGTAAGTCAACAGCATACGTTACTACACTGTTAAAGTAAACTGAATATTTGTTATTTTCATACTACTGAAATAAGATGTGAATAGTCAGAAATTTTCACACAAAATTTAGTCGCACTCCTCTCAGGTGGGTAAATTGACTTTCATACATACACTTTATGTGCACCCAGTTGAAAATCTTGACCAACTTTCTTTAAGTCAATCTTATACTCATACTCTAAGGCAGCTTTCGACATAATTTTGACTTGCATTTACTCACTATTTGTTTTCTAATAATCACGAATATAAAACTGTAGAGCCTGTAAAAGAAGTTACTGAAAATAATAATAATAATAATAATAATCTGCTTTATTCCAAAACAAACAATATTTACAATACAGAACGGAATTCTTAGCATTTGTCACAGTATCGCATGTAATTTACAGAGAATACAAGTAAAATTAACCACAGGAATTTGTCCACATTTACAGTAGGAATAAAGTCAAAACTGTGCAAAGTATAAAATGAGAATAATAATTCTAATGATAATAGCAGTGGGTTAGTCTTAAACAATATTATCGATACAGTTTGGAAATTTTAGCATGTTATAAACTATTGAATCTAATGTTCTCTTCATACAACATGGGGAATGCAAGAACGAAAAAATTACCATTATTACAGATCTTAAATGATGTTTATACTTATAGAAAAATAAACAAAAAATGAGAGGATTATATATATAAGAAGAATAATAACGGTAAAGCTTTTTGGAATAAGGCTGGACGTTATGGTTCATTTAATAGTGCTAAGAAGATTAGTTAATCTGTCTCTAACATTATTTTCATACCATAGAATACGTGCCAAATATGGTATAGTGGAATTTTGATACTTAGACGTATGTGCATAAAGTCTTTTGAAATGACTTCTTGTTCTACCTGAGGAGGCACAAGGTTAAGGCTGTGGGTAAAGGGGATTCTCACAGTCTGACAAAATTTCTCTAGCAAATTTGTTGCATTAAATCAAGTGCCTGTCAATGGCGATGTCAACGATATGGCCAAATGGGATACCACTCGCCCTACTAACAGTCTTCAGAGTCCTACGAAGTATGACATAGACTCTTTTAAGCAATACAGAAAAGAATAAGGGTGAACACTACAGAAGAATATGTAAGACGCACGAGTTGACAGACTGTAAGAGGAGGGGTTAAGTTGTGTCTGAGTGCCTTAACTTCTTAATGTAAAAAGTCAGAGAGGATATTCTTTAAGAAATCGCTAAGGCATGGGAAGACCAGGATAGGCCAGAAGAAAGAATTAATCCAAGATACTTAACACCAAGCTTGATTTCTATATCACTATCATCAGTTTTGCCAGGGTCATAGGAACAAACAGCTTCATTTTACTTCCTTTTACATCGTAAACTGAAATTAACAGTCTGACATTTGGAAGGATTTAGTTTAAGGCCATTAGACGAAGACCATTTGCTAATTCCTGATAGAAAGCTGTTCATCTTAGTACAGTCTAGTTGGGAGTTAACACACAGTGAAGTAGTTAGATCGTTCGTATACACAACAAAGTTCATTTCATCAGAGTGAGGCAAGTGATGCATGAAGAAAGGAAACAGAAAAGGAGAAAGAACAGCACCTTGAGGGACGCCAGCCTTAATAAGCAATCAAATGGACGACTTTCCCTGACATACAATGTACTGCTTTCTTCCTGAGAAATAAGAAATTACTGTTCTCTCTGAAAAATTTCTCTTGTTCTAATTATAAAATCCATGTTAAAATTTATAATAATAAGTTTGTTAATGTCAGTGGGCGAGAAGTTGCAGACTTCTACCAAAAAATATTGAAATCAGGTGGAACTAGTGAGAAAGTATCTCAAATTTCTCCATATTAATGGGAAGTAAATGAACAGAAACAGAAATAGGTTTGTAAATACCAAGCCTTAAATGCTGCGAATTTTTTGGATGAATTTAGACCCCAGTCCCGACTGAATAATTTTACAGTTATACAAAATACTGTTCGTATGCCAAAAATATTTTAAAAAAACATTTTCCGAGCGTTTAATTGTAATCGACTGGAAAACATTAATTTATGAGTTGATGAAGATGACCGTTATTCAGAGGTTGAAAACTGACGAGTCACTTTTACCTGTTTTGTTTAATTAGAGTCTGTAACATAGATTACAAGTTTATTTATTGCAACCAACAAAAATTAAAGTATTCTGGGCTTCAGACTCCAGCCTTTCTACATGTGAATAAACAGCTTTTTCTTGTACTCAGATAGTATAAAAGTAAATTTTTGCATTACATACACTGCTACAACTGGATGTTTTTGAAAACATTTCAATTCTTTTTCATCCACAGGGAGATATTTTCGTCATTGCTTCTGTTCAGTTGCTCTAACTTTGAACTACTTCCTGCTATGTCCTACATAGCAAGCCTCAAAATTATTTTGTATCATCTATGGATTTATATTTTTCATTCTTGTTAAGACTTTTTCTAAAGAATGTAACTGAATGAAATAGACAGCAGCGGCATATGCGACAAATAATCTTTGAATCTGCCCTGAAATGTTTTTTTATAGAACGGCTGTCTTTGATAATCAAGAATTTATTTTATTGTACCTTAATGTTTGCAGTTTTGATAAAAGTGGGCTTCAAAAAAGGTTTTTTGAGATAATCATTTTCATTTCAAATTTGTCGCAATTTGAAGACTTCGTTTTCCATACCATATGTTTCAGATAAAATATTTTAAGCTCTATTTACTACGTTTAAATTTGCCGACAAATATATGCCTTTAAGATGGTCAGATTGACGATTTAAACATTTATTTGACTGTATTGGTTTCCTATGTATGGCGATCTTGAATCTCTCATCTTAACGAAACAATCTAAAACGTTTAGATCCCCTTCTTTCGATTCTATTTCACACGTCAACTTGATACACTTTAAAGGAGAACTCAGAGTGTTTAAGAAAGTTTTATCGTTCAACTTTCCATTAAGAATGATAAATTACTCATCTCCATATTTAGGGTGAGAATAGGAGTGATCACAATATATTTCGTGTATAGTGTAGGGAACACCACAACAGATATTTCAGTTGCGTAGAAAAATTGTCAGAAAACATTTTAAAGGGTCAGACATAACATTCATATTCCTCTGAACACTTAATATAAAATCACATAAGACTCTGTACATTACCAACTAAGTGAGGAAACTTAAATTGTAATACACCGCCTCTGTCCTGCCATATCAACGAGGCAGAAAAGAAAATAGGGGTAAGTTCGGTTCCACAATTGCATTTGTACTAACCCCATATTTATCCTATACCTTAGGTTGATAGTCCACACATCTTGGTGACTTTCTTCAAAATTCTGAAAAAAATTGATCAAATTAATCTAAACAAGACAAATGAGAAGAGTATGTGTACTACACTTTGGGAATTCTCCCTAGCTGTAATTCTCAGAAAATAAATGTAAAGATAGTTAAAGTAAGCATAGTAACAGTAATCTATTTCTATGATAGAACAAAATGATGATGCCAACTAGCGAGGTAGGAGTTGGCGGGAAAAGCCAGGCAAATAATATTATGACAGTGATGAAGTTTATGACCTAATCATAATATTGATAAAAACAGTACAGTATTTTCATAGTAACAAACACAAAGTTGTTGCAGTGCATAAGGTATTTAAACTCAGGAAACGAACACCTCTAAAAAAGACTATAGAAACTCTGAAAGGGAAAGCTAATGCAGATTTGTCATAATAACGAATGCCTAGATAATACCAGATTGATATTACTTTCGTTATATAAATACAAATGTTCAATAGTCGCTAGGTCAGTAAATACATACCGTAAATAGATTTCTGAAAACAAATGTTCCTTTTTCTATATCACTTTCCTATTCAGAATAAAATTTGCTCAGTGTGTTGTGAAACACGTTGTTTTCTGCTTTAATGATAAATAACTTTGAACTAACACCTTAAGTGGTTTAACTCATGCATGTAAAAATCAAACCACAGAATTTACCGCTATGCAGTTTGAACCATGATCCGAAATGTGATGGCTGTATGATGAAATAATAATAATAATTAATAATTTTTCCTTCACTTTCCCAATGGAACATAGGGCCTCAGGCTGGTGGCTTGAAGTTTCTGTAGCAGTGTTTATTTTTTTGAGGATGAGGTTGCTAGCCTCATGCCCAACCTTTCCTCCTTACCAGGATTATTTCTGGCTTAGCGAGGTAAAGGAGTGCGTCGGCCGGGTATCGAACCCCTGACCATGTGCATGGTCGACGAGCATCCTAACGGCTGTGCCACCGACACAAGTGCTGTTAGGTAAAATAAAAAAATTCAAGTCTCCTAGACATTTTGAACTAGTGTCAAATTGTGTGTGTTTGCTCACTTTAATGAAATTTAATGCTTAAAAGCCGGTTTTCACCAAATGCAGTTACTAGAATGAGCTTTCAGTTAGTCGAATGGTTTGACTGAGTCATTTATTTCCAGAGCTGCATTTGTCGCATGGATTGATTCCTGATATAATCTCCGAGTTGATACAAAAGGTCTACTTAGCGTATGGTCATTTGTGTAGTCTTCGATGATGAACAAGTCTCATGTTGTCTGTCAAAGAGTTCGCGTGGTGCATAACAATGTGCAGCACAGTTGTGGGTAATGCTCGTTAACGTTTGAAAATGGTTAAAGACCGTAAGTTTTAGATCACAGAGATATACAAATTGCTGTACGAGTGTGGTACATCCAGCAAAATAAGTCATTTAATGAGGATTTGAAACTTCATCATATCGTCTATGGTGAGTCACCAGAACGCTAGGTTGGGTGGGAACTCGGAATTGTTCAGACCGAATCATGACGTCAATCCATATAATCACTGACTATTTTTCTGAGCCAAGTAGAGAGGTGTAAGTAATCGGTTGGTGAACTTTGGAAGCTGAGAGTATATCACTGCAATTCTTCTAACAGTGTCTCAGTTGCATTCATTTAGAAATTATGAAGATTCTCAATAATATTTAT